GTGCTGTTACCTTTCCCAACCGACACATTCCCGTAGAGGGGCATTTTGTGAGCCGAAGGTTAGGAATGGATGACATATCCGTGATCGGCGCCGAATAACCATTCTAGACAATTTTTAAGATGTGATATATGAAAATGAAGGAGTAGTGACAAAGATGTAATTGACGAAGCAAGCACAGCTGAAGGCACATTTAGAAATCTTTGGAAATCAGAATGTCTCGGCGATTTCTTTAGTCATACCTTCAAATCAACGACAGTGTTATGAAGAAGTCGCATTGTTTCGTCTTTCTCTCGGAGTTCGTCACGTTTCGCTGCTAAGTGCGATGTGAGACGACCAATATCCTCCATCCTTTCGCAAAGCTCATTTTTTAGGCGAGCGATTTCAGAATCCTTCTGAAAATCAGGTACAACACTAGAAAAAAAAGTCTGAGATGTCCCTATAGCTATGAAAGAAAGAAATTATTCTGGACCCCAGCTGTTCGCAATTATTACTACAGCTTTGGAACTGATGCGGCAACAAGCAGACGTAGCTCATTAGAACCTTGTCGCCAAATCCAGACAGACGCAGTGCGAGGAAATCTTTCCGGAACCTCAACATTAAAGACAGCTCCCGCGATAAAAGTGTCATGGATAGTTGATGTTCAATTATGAAACAGTAGCTGATAAGTAATTCCCCAGAAAAGAAAAAAAGCAAGAAGAGTCCTCAAGAACACCATAAACAAAATCGCGCCCTGACAGTCACACCTCCCTGCGGTCTCTGTGCAAGCCCTGGCTCACAAATCACTTTGTCACATCTCCCAGTAGTGGATATCATCGAATGCGAAGAAAAGAAAACAAAAAACAACAGAAACATAGAGGAAAAACTCTTGAAAAGAAAAGGAAACATTTAAAAAGCCGGCGTCCGAATTTAGGGTTACGGTAGCGTGCATATTTTAGTGAAGTGCGTCGAGCTTTTGCACCACGAAAATTGGGTCGCTCGTGATTTTTACGCGTTTTATCTTGCGAGATGTGTTGGAGTTGACTGTATGTGCTCCTGATTAATAAAATGTAATAAAGGAGAGCAGAATCATTCATGGGCATGAGCGCTGTCAGCGAAAAGGACATGCAATTCCGATAGTATGGACACCGCTCACAGACAACTGAAAGCTGGCCCCTCCCGGTCGGATGGCATCTAGCAAAAAGGGCGTCTAACTCTGAGCGTGGCGTATAGGAGTGAAACTATTCAGCGGTGTGCTGCTCGCTCGTCTGCTGGAGCGCGGAGTGGGATAGTCTCTAGCTTGAGGGCTGTACTACTTGCAAAAGGAAGGACGACCATGTACTACTTGAGCGCGGGGGCTGCCTTTAATCACACATATACAAGAGCGAAAAAAAAACGGTAGCAACGCTGCGCAGCAGTTGCACGTTAATCAACATCCATGCTTGGTATGTGTAGGGTTCTTGGCACTCAGAAGCTCTTAGAACCTTCACCTTCCAAGTGGTACAACCTAATCGGCTGTGAATCTGCGCTCACTATTTCTCCAGGTATTTTAAAAAAAAAGTGCAAAAACGAGGACATACCGCATCGATTGATACTTGCATCATTGCCGATTTACCCTTCTCTGCTTCCAGAGCCATCTGTACCGTATTCAGCTGTGTATCCTGAGAGGCATTTTTGTTGAAACACTCCAATGAACTCTGAAATCAGATGAAGGGATATCATGAAAATGATATGAGCAGATGAAGCAGTTTTGTTACTTGTTATGAGATGACGTTTCAATGTCGTCACATGACGCATTAGTGAGAGAAAGCATATTTTGTATCGTTGCCAAAGACGTCACAGAATGCGTCACTATCGTGTTATGTGACAGCAATGACACGCCGTCTACAGTGCTCATCATTACGTACAGTCGGGGCCGGCACAGCCCGCGCTGCCACTGTGAGCGACTGCGATCTGCGGTCGGTGACGTCTGTGAATCAGCTGATTTCGATGGAATTCGGCTGCCATTCCCCTTTTTTCAGCTCCTTCCAAGCTGACTAAAGGTGAAGGTGAGTTATTCTGACCAATTTTGAATTGTACTGGCTCTGATTTCCTTTATTTTTATGTCGATTATTATGCTCTTTTCCTTGTATTTTGCCTTATTTCAGGCATTTACTCAAACATTCTACATTCGTGAGGATTCGTCCGGATGTCAAGTACACTACAATTTGGTAGATACCAAAGAACAACTGAGCCTGCCCTTCCATCGGAGGGCATCTAGCAAAAGCGGGGAGCGCCGAGGCGGGGCGGTCTAACTGAGCGGGCGTTAGAACTAGAACTTTCAGCGGCTGTAGCTCGCTGCTCGCTCGCTGTGGAGTCGCGAGAGTGGGATAGTCTCTAGCTTGAGGGCTGTACTACTTGCAAAAGGAAGGACGACCATGTACTACTTGAGCGCGGGGGCTGCCTTTAATCACACATATACAAGAGCGAAAAAACGATAGCAACGCTGCGCAGCAGTTGCACGTTAATCAACATCCATGCTTGGTATGTGTAGGGTTCTTGGCACTCAGAAGCTCTTAGAACCTTCACCTTCCAAGTGGTACAACCTAATCGGCTGTGAATCTGCGCTCACTATTTCTCCAGGTATTTAGAAAAAAAAGTGCAAAAAAACGAGGACATACCGCATCGATTGATACTTGCATCATTGCCGATTTACCCTTCTCTGCTTCCAGAGCCATCTGTACCGTATTCAGCTGTGTATCCTGTGAGAGTGATTGTTTGTTTGAATAACACTCCAATGAACTCTGAAATCAGATGAAGGGATATCATGAAAATGATATGAGCAGATGAAGCAGTTTTGTTACTTGTTATGAGATGACGTTTCAATGTCGTCACATGACGCATTAGTGAGAGAAAGCATATTTTGTATATCGTTGCCAAAGACGTCACAGAATGCGTCACTATCGTGTTATGTGACAGCAATGACACGCCCGTCTGACAGCGCTCATCATTATCCGAACAGTCAGCCCTGCACAGCGCGCTGCACTGCTGACGGCGACGGCGGCTGGCGGCTCGGCGGTGATCAGCTGATTTCGATAGAATTCGGCTCCATACCTCCCCGTTGCAGCTCTTCAAGCTTCTAAGCAAGTGGAAGGCTGAGTTATTCTGAACAATTTTGAATTGTACTGGCTCTGATTTCCTTTATTTTTATGTCGATTATTATGCTCTTTTCCTTGTATTTTGCCTTATTTCAGGCATTTATTCAAATGGCTTACATTCTTTCAGATTCATTCAGAGTCAGTACAATTCAAATTGGTCAGAATAACTCACCTTCCACTTTAGAAGCTTGAAGAGCTGAAAAAGTGGGAATTTGCAGCCGAATTCCATCGAAATCAGCTGATTCACCGTCACCGAGCCGCAGCCGCTGTCGCGTCACAGTGCAGCGCGGCTGTGCCGCCCCGACAGTACGTAATGATGAGGACTGCACCTCTTAACAAGTAACGGTCAAGCACTTAACATGCACGATATCGGCTCCAAAACAATTATGACAACAGTGCAGAGTGAAACAAACCTGGAGCATTTCTATATTCTGATCTTTCAAAGTTAGCTGGCTCTAAACAGATCCACTAAATTGATGCAGTGAAGTCGATAACAAGGCTTCTGCAGCCATTACCTTGATTAGTTCCGATTCAGCCTTGTACTTTCGCAACTTCTCCTTCAAATTGAATAATCTTCGTTTTCATTTCCATTACCTCCGCACTCTCCCGGGGTGCAGACGCAGATCGGCGATCTAAAAAATGGTAGAACACCCGAAACCTGAAGAAGACGTGCTTGAGAAAGAGCTGTACGGCTAGCCTAATCAAGTGCAAGGTGAACGGGTCCGCTTCAACAGAACCCGTTAACAGAAGTTCAGGACCACCCTCCCTCGCAGACGCGCGGAAACAACAGGGAGTGACAATACTGAGCCCCTTATGTCTTCACCTCTTTTGATACGGGAGATGCGCGCCACAGTGATCGCCCCCATTTGAATATAGTCCGAAGCCGTGTAACTACACTCGGGTGTAGGGCTGACCTTATGGCGTACGGCGTGATTTGAGTGTGCCTATTGTCAATCAGACGGTTCGGCGGGAGATATAATATACCAAGCTCCACAGGCGCTATCTTCACTGCCGGCTTTCGGATTGGCGATGGTAGAGTAGTTGTTCCGCTCTGGGCACAGCATGAGAGGTTGAGAGAGTTCCATCAAGGCGTGATCTTACTTGGTCTCTGTGAAGTAGATGTCGTACTCGCCATCAAGAAAAATTTTCCGATCCGTGAGGAAATTTTCCGGATTGTCGACTTTCCGTTTCAGTTTTTTTGGGGTTCCACCTACGCTATATGACCTTCTCTCCACGCCCTAGCTGGCAGCGCAGGGCACATCGTTGGGGAATCCCCAATAGGGGGGTCGTATTTGGTCGCCAGGAGGGGGGTCGTATTTGGGCTGAGAAAAATTTATTTTGATAGTTGATTTTTCTCGCTTCATGGACGTTGTAAAGGGGGGGGGTCGTACTTGGTCATTGTTGGGAGGGGGGGGTCGTATTTACGTTTTGGCGTTGTAGGAGCGGTGGTTGACTTTTGGTGATTTTCCTGTTTCTGCGTAGTATATGCCCCCCGCTCGACGGCTCGATTCGATGAGGTGGAACAGAGGGCCTGGAGGGGGGGGGTCGTACAGACTCGACTGAAATCCCCAACCAATGATGTGCCCTGTGGCAGCGTCACAGAACTACCATACAGCTACTACTTCTGATAGTTGAATAGATTACTTACTGATCAATGGCAATCCCTCTCCTCCTCTGCTCGATGCCCGTTTTAGTCGGGAAAGGACGTCGGGAAGTTTTGGGAAGATGATAGGAAGAACGAGAAGGGAAAGAGGGTAGATCATACCGGAGCAGGAATTCTGAGGGAGTTGGTGCGGGCTATGCAACAGTACGGCTGCAGGCCCACTAACCTTGCACGCGGAAAAGACCTACCCTTTAGATATCGAATGTCGTCTTTAAATAACTAAACGAATGTGAAAGGTGGACTAACTGATAGTGGACGACTGATTCACTGAAGGACCTGGGCGGGTGCTCGCTGTACTACCAACTCGACGAGCGGTTGCAGCAGTTGTTTGCTGGAGGTAACGAGGTTGACCTGATGGTTGCGCTATCGTTGTTCTGCCGGTTCTCGTTGAATCGGGCAGTGATTTTGTCCCTAAAAAAATCGGCGGTTAACAAGACTATAATAAAAAACCGACTATTAGTATTCGGTGACTACAGTCTTGTTCGCTGCAGATGCTGCACGTGTCGTTGGCTGGGTCTGCCGCGGTGTCAGCTGTTTCCCAGCGATTATTGTCGCTTCCTCACTTCAACAGTCGGTGGTAAATGTCTCGACTTCTTACGCCACCCCCCCCCTCCTCATCCCAAACCCATCCTCTGTAAAAAGCCCCAGCACCCGCAGCAAACAAGACTGCGCATATTCTAAGCCATTGTTCTAAGTCTAAAGAGTGAACGCTCACCTGAAAAGCGAGGAGTAGCCGAAGTAGAGAGAGCTAGTCTTTTTGCAGGCGTGCAAGAAGTGGTTTTGCCAATCCCATGCTTCTTCGTTTCAGATTTCGAGCTGCTTGAACAGTGGCAGACACCGGTTGCAGGGCTAAATGTATGCATTTCGAGTAAAAGACCACTAGACATTTTGACAGAGCTGCTAATTCCAGTAACTTTGGGTGAACCCCCCCCCCCCCATAGAAAGGCTGCTAGAGAAATGTCCCGGAGGAAAACACCTTCTTTCACGGTTCAATAATAAACGAGCCAAATGCCTCTTTGTGATTTACGTTAGTTCTGAGTGTTTGTCCTGAAGTTTGGTACCTAATGGGTAGAGATTACTCTCACCTCTATGATCTGCAAATCTGCAGGCGCACAGATTGTAAAACTTCACGCTCGAAAGGGGGCGCTAAAGACTCCAGAAGGGGTTTGTGATCTGAGTGTGATGAGGCCCCTTCAATGGTTTTCCAATCATACACCGCCCTGGACGTGTGCTCTCTTGCTCTAAGTTGTCTGATCTCGCTCGCGCCGAATTTCTCTTCGCTCCTCGGTTCATCGTTTTCACGTCCAGTGCCAAAATTGGAGTGCAAATTTGAGCCACTATTTGACGACGGTCCCGACTCCTTTTCTTGCTCTTCTCCAATGTTGAGCAAGCTAATAACTGCACTATCATTTTGGACCACTTTACCTACCACTTTGAAACATGGAA